ATTTAAAGGACCCAACACAATAAATAAAAATAGACATAAAACAATGCATGCCTTTATAAATTTTAGAAAACAGAAAAAGATTCTGCAAGCTTCCAGAAAGGGAAAACAAACAACAAATAGGTCACATGCAGGGTATAAGGAATGAAAATAGCTTTAGATTTCTCAATGGAAGCTATAAAGTAAATGAGCAATTCCTTCAAATTTCTGAATGAAAATTATTCCCATCCAATAAATCTCTACCCAGGAAAGCATCAATCAAGAATGACAATGAAATAAAAGCATTTTCAGATCAGCATTATACAAAACAACTTTTGTAATGGAGGGTGAATTTTAACACAATAGAAGAATAAAACAAGAAAGAAGAAGGCACAATATTCTCAACCTTGCACAAAAGAGAGGCAAAACATTACAGTAAAGGGTATTTGTAGGATGTAAAGACAAACAGCCCAGAAGACCTCAGAGGAAATTATTTTTTAAGAAGAAATTGTGTAAGACCCAGGATGTCATGTCTTTCTCTTTCTTGGTTTATACCTGTTAGTTGAAGCATTGATGCATCTCAGTGTACAAGAGATTTAACTAACTGGAGGAGTTAGGAATTGAACTAATGAAAAAATACAGAAAACTAAGAGAAAAAAAGAAAAAGACAACTTAAGAGAAAACAAAATATCTAACAGGAGAGAAAAAGTACTATTTGTATACTACATGGCTTAGTTGTAAATAACACATACCTAGTCATAATAATATACACGCTGAATACTAACCTGACAAAAACTTTAACATAACTATACAGAGGTAAAATAGCAAGACGGACAATTATGTACGAGGGTGAAGGCAGGAGGAGTAAGAAATATTCGGGAAGAGATTAATCCTCATCTCTGTAATGAAAGTCAATAGAGTAATGCCTAATACTGGAATATCAAGTATCAATATTTGCATTGCTTCCAGAGCTATAGAAGTAAACACAAAAAAAGAATCAGCTACAAATGTTGAAAGTGGTTGCCTCTAGGGAAAGGGGACAAAGGATGAGGGCAGAGGGTTGCTATTTTTCAAAATTATTCTTTAAAGTTTGATATTTTAAGTGATACATATATATAAAATTTTTATTTTCTTTGATCTTCTACATTCCACTAATTTCTTTGTACTGGTGTTTAATTTTGGGGGGAGATTTTCTTACTAACTTTCATGTATATTACTGAGTTTTTCATTTCTTCTGTTAGCAATGAATAAAAGAGTACAAGAGTACTTATATTTAAAAATTAAAGGTATAAAAGACAAAATGCTTTCCCCCTAAGATCAGGAATAAGGCAAAAATGTTCACTTTCAACATTTCAACATTGGACTGGAAGGACTGTATCAGTGCAAAAGACAGAAAAAGAAATTAAAAGTATACAAATTAAAATAGAAAAAAATAGCATTAAGAAAGACATATAGGCCAATGGAACAGAATAGAGTCCAGAAATAAGCCTTCACATATAATATCAAATTATTTTCAGCAAGAGTGCCAAGATTACACAATGGGGAAAGGACAGTCTCTTCAAAAAAAGGTGTTGGAAAAACTAGATACCCACAAGCAAGAATGGACCCCTACCTTATACCATATTCAAAACTTAACTCAAAATGGATTACAGATCTAAATGTTAAGACCTGAAACTATAAAACTCCTAGGAGAAAACGCAGAAGAAAAGTTCATGATATTGCAACAGTCAGTGATTTCTTTGATATTAAAAAAAACCACAGGTGACAAAAACACAGGTAACTAAAGAAAGATAGACAAATAGGGCTGCATCAAACTTAAGAACTCTACAGCAAAGGAAACAACAGTGAAAAAGTAACCAAAAGAAAGGGAGAAAATATTTGCAAACCATATTTCTGATGAGTGGTAAATATCCAGAACATGTAAAGAATTCCTCAACTCAACAAAAAAAATAAATCACCCAATTTAAAAATAGACAAAGGACTAAAACAGCCATCTCTCCAACGAAGACATACAAATGGCCAAAAAGCATATAAAAAGACACTCACCATCACTAACCGAAAGAGTAATGCAAATTAAAACCACAATGAGGCATGGTTGTGGAACTCTTGCACAGTGTTGGTGGGCAGTGTAAAATGGTGCAGCCACTATGGAGATTCCTCAAAAAATGAAAACCAGAACTACTATATAACCCAGCAATCCCACTTCTGATTTTATATCCAATAGAACTGAGAACAGAATCTCAAAAAGATGTTTGCACACCCACATTTGCTGCAGCATTATTCACAATAGGCAAGATGTGGGAGCAACCTTAATGTCCATCAACAGATGAATGGATAAAGAAAATGTGGTATATACACAGAAGAATATTATTCAGCCTTAAAAAAAAAGGAAATTCTGTCATATGCTATAACATGGATCAACCTTAAAGACATTATGCTAAGTGAAATAAGCTGATCACAAAAATACTCCATAATTCCACTTACGTGAGGTATCTAAAGAACTCAAACTCATAAAAATATAAAGTAGAATTGTGGTTGCGTTGCCAGAGGCTGAGGGAAGGAAGAAAGAGAAGTTGTTCAATGGACGCAAAATTTCATTCATGCAAGATAACCAAGTTCCAGAGATCTGCTATACAATACCATAATGTATATTTAAAAATTGTGAAGAGGGTAAATTTATGTTGTTTTTTATTTTTTACTACAGTAAGTGGGAAACTCAAGAAGGAAGAAGAGGGGAATAAAAAGAAAAAAAAATTACCCCTATTTGTAGATGACATGCATGTTTATGAAGAAAATGCCAAGGAATGCACAAAAAAACTGTTAGGACCTGATAAATGAGTTAGCCAGATCCAAGTGTTTATTTCATGCTCTATTTAGTATCACATTGTTTGCACTTTGGTGCTTTTTTATTGATGATTTCACTGTTTAAAATGGCCCCCTAGCATACTGCTAAAGTGCTTTTAAGGCCCTGGCTGGGTGGCTCAGTTGATTAGAGCATTGTCCCCCATGCAGCAAGGTTGCAGGTTCCATCCAGATCCTGAGTCAGGGTACACACAGGAAGCAACCAATTAATGTTTCTGTTTCCCTTTCTCTTTCTTTCTCTTTCTTTCCCTCTTCCTGCCCCCCTCCCCACCTCTCTCTCTCTCTCTCATATCAATAAATTAAAAAAGAATTTTTAAAGAGTATAAAGACAAGCACACATACACACAAAAAGACAAGCCAGACTGAGATAAGCACATAATGGACAAAAGATTTATATCCAGAATATATAAAGAATTCTAAAATTCAATTTTAAAAAAAGACAACTAATTTTAAAATGAGCAAAAGAGCCCTGACTGGTGTGGCTCAGTGGATTGAGCACGGGCCTGCAAACCAAAACGTTGCCAGTCTGATTCCCAGTCAGGGCACATGCCTAAGTTGTGGGCTCTCTCTAAAAATAAATAAATAAAATCTTAAAGAAAAAGTAAAAAATAAAGTGGGCAAAAGATTTCAATAGACATTTCACCAAAAATATGCAGATGGCAAGTAAGCACATTAAAAGATGCTCAATATGATTAGACATTAGGGAAATGCAAAATTCAAATCACAATATGAACTACACATCTATTAGCATAGTTAAAATAAAAACAACTGACAATACCAAGTACTGAAATTCTCATGTTTACTAGTGGGAATGCAAAATGGCAGAGCCACTTTGGAAAATAATTTAGCAGTTTCTTAGAAAGAAAAACATTAGCATTTTCTTAGAAAGTTAAATATTCACCTATACCATACAACCCAGTAATCATATTACTAGGTATTTACTCAAGAAAAACAAAATCTTACACTCATTAAAAAACTGTATGTGAATGTTTATAGCAGCTTTATTCATAATCACCAAATCTGGCAACAACTCACATGTCTTTCAACTGGTGAATGGATAAACAAATTGTACTATAGCATTACAATGAAATACTATCCATAACTGAAATGAATAAACTACAACAGATGCAATAACATGGATGAATGTTGCTGTAGACTGTGTCCTCCCCCTCAAATTCTTATATTGAAATCCTAACGCCCAATGTGATGGTATTAAGAGGTGGGGTCTTTGGGGCATGATTAGGTCATGAGGATAAAACTCTCATGAAAGAGCTATGAACTCTTATAAAAGAGAACCCCCTCTCCACAGAACTGCCTTGCCCTTTCCGCCATGGGAGGTTACAATAAAAAGATGGTCATCCATGAACCAGGAAATGTGTCCTCACCAGACACCCACCAAATCTACCATTGCCTTGATCTTGGCCTTCCCAGCCTCCAGAGACATAAATCTCTGTTGTTCATACCACCCAGTTTATGGTATTTTGTTAGAATAACCCAAATAGACTAAGATAATGTCAAATGTGGTATGCTAAGTGAAAGAAGACAGGCAAAGACTATGTACCATATTTTGCCATGTATAATGTGCACTTTTTTGCTCAAATTTTTGAGGGAAAAGTAAGGATGCACATTATACATGGGGTAGTACTAATTCTGTATCTATATAAATGTTTGTAATTATTTTACTTATGCTTACGTGTTAGAAGTATAACTCTAGAAAGCAAAAACAATATCCATATGCAAAATAATACCCTGGAATGTGATCATTGGTCTTGTTTCTAAATATAAATAAATAAATAATTGAATTAAAAATTAGAAGATTTTTTTCCTGAAAGCTTGGGCCAAAAACATGGGTGTGCATTATACACATCAAAATATGATGATAATGATGTGATGTGACTATATGTTTGTCAAAACTCAGAACTATACATGAAAGAAAATATGAATTTTACTGAATGTAAATTATGCCCAACAGAAGCTGAAGACAAACACCAAAAGAATAGGATATCCCAACTACCTTTCAAACTTGCTGTGGAAAACACAGAATAAAGAAAACAATCCAACAGAAGGCACAAAAGGAGCAGGCAAGCGCAATAAATAGAAACTAAGATGGTAGAAATAAGTCTAAATATGTTAGCAATCATAATGAAAATAGATCAACTCACCCGTTAAGATACTCTCAAATTGAATAAACCAAATCCAGCTGTATGCTTAAAAGATAGACCTAAAACAAAATAACATCAAAATATGAAATTAGTTCAAATAAAGGCATGTTAAAACCTCCAAGCACAATTCCATGAAGCCACAACTTAGAGGCTTCTAGACTAAAATAACTATATTTGTATAATCTAAGATTCCAAAGTGCTATCTGTTATTTTTTTTACCTCAAAAGTTATACAAGATCCATGGCTCTTAAGGGAGCTCATTTAGTAACCTATTTCCTCCCTAAAATTTAAACAATACTGTACTGGCAAATGGCCTTAGCATAATTTCCCAAGGTGTAGTAATGTGATGACAGTCAGTAAATAAACTGAAATCAGGACAAAGCTGTGCTTTGAATAGTTAAAAATTGTGTAAGTGAGGTATCAAGTATAAATGCCACAATAACAATTCAGTTGCTTGCAAAATACTTTGTACTATAAATAACTCTGGGTACAGTATATACCCCTGAATTATAAGCAACCATATAACACAAATGCTATTTTCTGCATGAATCTATTAAATACTAGGAGATAATACTGTTGATACTTCTAGGACTAGGGAAGAAACAGTAAAAAAGGAAGAAAGCCAAGTTGTGAATGAAAATGTCAAGGCTAGACAGAAAATGAAATGAACAAGGATGAATTTCAGATATTAATCCTATAATTCCAGCAGGTACAGCTATATAAACACAGGGTTTGCTGAAAATAAAAATTAAAATCTCTTATTTATAAAACTGTCAACTTTTTGCAAAATACTTTTACATCTGCAGCTATTACCTAAATTTCAAAATAATAATTTATCATAGGTAAGTATTATCACCTATTTGAGAAAATGAAATTGAGGCATGAAGATTAAGATATGAAGACCATACCTAGGAGCAGACCTAGAAATAGAACTTAAATTCTGCTAGTCTCCATTCCTATGCCTTTTTCTAGACCCTGTTGACTTACGTGGAAAGAAAATATAGTAGTATATATATAGCCGGTCCTCTTTTATATATAAAACCCACTTACATGCAAAACTTACTCATAAATGGCTATTCTATAAAAGCACTATTCTATTAAAATAAAGACTTCTCGAATTTCATTTAAATGACAAGCTCACCTAGTGCATTCCAAATTATTTCATTTACAAAATCAAGTGAAAGAAAAAACTCAGCATCACCTATTGCATCTATCTTTACGACAGCTTCAAAACAACGTTATGGTTAAGTAATACTTTTCCTTCATTATACATTTTCAAAAATATAACATATTTTAAGGCTTATGTATGCATTTACTTTTTAAGTTTTTTAAATCTATTTCGAACATGCACTTGTTTGTGATGTTGAACATGGCGAGTGACAAAACTTTCAAAAGACAGTTGGGACAAAATCTGAGAAAACACTGCTAACTAAACCATAACTAAATTGTTCTATTAATGTGTGGCAGTACTAATTAATAATTCGCTCCAAGTACTACCCTCTATGATTTGAATCTCTACTTCTGGAGCTAACTACATCCTATAATTTTATAATAATATTATCAAAACTAGGCAAAAAAAAAAAATTGCCAATGACTAAAACCTCAAAAAATAACCAAGACCTTTAAAAAGAAATGTGTTAAGAGATATTTAACATTGTGCAACCACTCAAATACAGCTAATATATTTTACCAAAAAGTCAAGAACTTTGGAGGAAAAACTGCTAAATGCACATTTGTTACACAGAATTCTTCATTTAACAGCAAAGTGAGTGAGTGGAAGGTATATTGATCTCCCCACAGCTGCATGGAATAACAAATGTAATTTAAAAAATTCTGTGTATAATAGAATTATTTCTATTACAAAAAAAGATTTATTAAATGTTTAATCAAATGGAAAAAGTGTTATCATGTGGGATCTATAATATTTAGACTGGGTTTCAATAACTGAGCCCCTCCGTAATTCAGTATTCCATTACTTGCATCTTCTCCTTTAGAGAATTCCTAAGGTTTTTGTTCCTCCTTTTCTCAAGAAATTGAGTAACCATAGTTACTGAAGGGAGAAGCAACTCAGAGGGAAGATGTTAGCCAGGGCAGCATGGCCTCCCATCTGCTATACCCAAAAATCAGCCCCTAATCCTCGAAAATATATGCTTTTTAAATTGTACATAAGAAATACTAATATCATATGATCTACTTTTTACTTTCCAAAATTAATATTTAGAAAACAATCAGGAATGAAGACAAAAATTTATGTACCAGAGTGTTTATCATTGTTTTTGTAGTGTGGAAAAATAGGAAAACAGAAACAATCTATAGAATGGAAGGTAACAAGCATCTTATAAAAACATTTTAAAGGACTATTTAATACATGTTCATATTTCATTTTGTAACGAGAGACAAGATATAAAACTACATAAATCTTAATCCCCACTAATTTTACAATCATAAAAAAAATGTTTAACAAATTGACTGATATTTTGTGCTTGGTAAACTTGGCTGACCACAGTAATTCTAGATCTTGACTGTAGGAACTGAGCAGAAAGAGAATACAGTAGGAAAATTCTATCATTTACCACTAAGACAAGCATATTTAATTTATAAATTATTTTTCAGACAGCCTCACATATTTCAATTTTTAAAAAACAGAAAAAGTGGCAGAAGCACCATTCTTTTGGGCACTGCATATGGCATTCAACCAATAACTGATACTTAAAAGCAGTAACAAATATTTAAATCATAATCACTCCATGTTTCCACTATCTGCATCTACAAAGTAAAGGTAATCTGTGTTTTAACTCACTTGGAATAACTTCTAGGTAATCCCAAAATTTTGAGAAGGTATTTTCTGAAAATTAGGGGGAGAATTATATGTAATGACTGAAATCATAAAGAAGTAATCAGTGGGGCTATTTGTGGATCTTCCATAACCTACTGTAAGATAAAAAACAGGAGGAGAATAGGTTTAGGAGTTTGAATCCCAACTCTGCTATGTGACCTCAGACATATTCTTTAACTTCTCTTAGTCTTAATTTCTTCATCCATAAAACAAAGATAACCACAACATATCCACAGAACTGTAATAAGCATTAAACTACTAACACAAGATTTAACACGGGGTGGGGAATCCAAGAAATATTAGCTATAATATTTTAAATAACCATCCAGCCAGATGGTGTACAATCTCATTTCTATTATCTTATTTAAAGTAAATCCCAAACCTAAGTAACACTAGCTCTGAATCCACTTGGGAGTGCAAAATGATCATACAATTACACAAACAGTAACCATTGAATGTCTCAATATAGATGGTATACTATAGTTTGGCTAAAAACACTAGAGGATGAAAGGATGATGAAAAGACAGACTTTTCCTGTAATTTATAGAGTAAACTTAAAATGTAAATTATAAGAGGTAATGAAGAACACAAGTGGGAAAAAAATCCAATAATGGCATCTAGAAAAGGTAGTAGCTTTCACCAGTTAAGTCCAGTCAGAAGGCAGTAAAATTGGAAGGAGTTCCTGGATAGGGCTTACTTTGCATTCCTGCTCATCACTCATCACAGAAAATGATGGCTGCAATAGAAATACCAGTTTGAAAGAAAACATCATTAGTACATATCCCTATATGTGCCCATTAGTGTTAGTGAAATGTCCCAGATTTTAAATGATAGATTCATTTAAATGTTGCAAATCCTAAACTGGCAGATTAAATCTCTACAATCCACGTTTCCCAACGCCCACATATGCTCATAGATTCTTCAACACTTAATAAAAATCTTAAACCATGTATCATGGAATCAAAATGCGAGTTAAGTTTTACCTCTCAACAAGACTTATAATGTATTCTTCGTGGTGGGACCCATTAGAAAAACTGCATTTTACCCCTTAAAGAGACCTTTTATAAACTCCACAATCCCAAACACTAACTATGCTCTAACAGTGTTAACTATCCTCCCAGCCAGTAAATGGTGCTTCACGAAGTGCTCAGTTCTCCCTAACGAGAGTTTTCTTCCTAATTAGGCAAGTAAAAGATGAAGGATAGACGAAATCATAGCCATTTAAAAAAGATGCTGATTACATCTACTTTGCAGATTATTAAAGTTCCAATGCAATGAATCAGCACAAACTTGTCATAAATATATACATATATACGTGTGTTCTCCTATTAGCGGATTTAGCTTTACGTATAAATTAGAACACCTTTAACCTTCAATGTGAGTTTGGGGTTTTGGAGGAAGACTGGAGGGTTGCAGAGTCATGTTGTGAAAACTGGGTACAACCGAGCCTGGCGATTTCCCGGGTTTATCACGATTCGGGGCGATTTTAACAAAAGAAATCATCAAAGCTTAGTTCAGAGACCGTACGAAAGCCGGACACAAAGCAAGTACTGTAATATGAATACGCTAAAACGGTAACATTGGCGGACAAGGTTTTTGATGTTTTGGTCATTGCCGCATACCCTGACATGCGGTAGGATTTTTAAAGTTGAACAAACAGAACGAGGGTGTCTAAACGTATTTAGATGTTTGTATTCATTTGGGATGAATGTAATACTACTTCCAAGAATTTTTCAGATAAAGTGCAGCGACACTACAAAATACTTGCAGTACAGTCCCCATTAACAAAAAGACAGAAAAGAGAGGGAAAGAACGAAAGGCCTCTTCATAACAGACAGCCCTGTAAAGTCGTTTGGACATTCCCGGGTGTACTGGCTCAACGTACGTCCAAAAAGACAAGTTCTCGAAGACTCTGCGGCTCACCGCCACAACCTGGCGGACCCACCCGCGTCTCTCGGGATCCTGCCCGAGCCGACCGCCAGCTGCGCCCCTCGCCCGGGCCACGCCTGATGGGCGTAGCGGCCTGTTACAAATAGCTGGTTTCCACGGTGAGGGCCAGGCCAGTGGGCGGGCTGCACTTACCGACCCGCAGCTCGCCCCGCAGCCCGGCGGTAAGGGGGTACGTGCAGGAAGGGAGGACACAGTGTGGACTGTGGAGAAGGGGGAACTCGTCTTGGCCTAGCACCGACCTGGGAATCCCGCCTTCCCCTCGCGGAACAGCAGTTCCCGCGCCGCGCGACTCTGAAAACGGAAACCGCACCGCAGCGCTCCCTAACTCTATTTTGCCTCTTCCCGCCCGACCGACGCGCGCTCACGCCCCTCCTTAAACCCAAAAGATCGCTCCAGGCCCCAAAAACGCCCCTTCCCCGCCCCCTCCTTGTGCCTGTGCGAGGCAGTCTTTAGTTCTCGCGAGAGGCTTTTCCCCTCCCCCAGCTAGTGAGTGCGCGAAAGAGAGAGGAGGAGGGCGCACCAGGCGAAAGTGCTGCGGACGCCATTATCCTCTGTTTCTCGGCAGCAGGAACCTCGACGTTTTGCTTACGTTCCGCCTGTTTACGGCCTATAGGTAATTGGGGTTATTTGGGACTTCGGCATTACGGACGCAGGAAAGGGATTGGGCTCCCTAAAGGCTGCGTTGACTTTTTCCAAGTCCGGTTTTTCTCGGGCCTTCAGCGGCCTCACAGCCTGAAGGGAGGCGCCGGTGGGAGGCGGGGTGTCGCCTCCTCCGGCGCCTTGATTGAAGCGGTCCTAGACCAATCGCTTCGCCGTGGCGCCACAGCTGAAGCCGGAGTAGCCAATCGGGCACGGCGGCGGGGTAGCAGAGCGCGGGAGGCGGGGGAGAGCGGCGGGGCCGTGGGCTCGTTCTCTAACTGTGACCGGTTGAGGCGGCGCGGAAGCTTAGGGACGGCGGCCTCGCGCGGTGAGGAGCGGAGATAGGCATACGGCGCGTGAGAGCGAGGGTCGGAGACGAATTTTGTCACTTGAGGGAGGCGTTTGGGGGCTGCTCGGTGGTTGGCTGATTCTCAGCGAGAGAACGTTGCCCGGTTCCCCTCCCCCCACCTCCGCCATTTCCCTGAGCGTATATCCGCAGTCTTCGTTGTGGTACGACAGGCTTTGGGGCTTTGCGAGGCATGTGCCAGTTGGATGAGCTGTAGTTTTTAGTTTTGCGGACTAGGTTTCTTTGTAGGGGGGAGAAAGGGGGCTCTGCGGGCGGAGCCCCAGGGCGGTAGAGAATGCTGTCTTTTGTGTGGGCCCCGCCGCACTTTCGCAGCCCCTGCATGGGCTTGGAGAGGGTGCGAGAGAGGTCGAACGGTCGGGGGCTGCCTCCGTTGCTTTGTCTCTCCCGCGGTGGGGGGAGGGTGCGGAGGATGAGATCTCGGGACCGCGTGGTGGGTGGGGGAGGGGGTCGGCTCCCGGCTCCGCCTAGTAGCACGTAGTCGCCATTACACAGGCCGCCATTTCCTGTCGGATCCTGGAGAGTGGCGGCGCTTCTGCTCTCGCCTCTGGCTTTTTCAACTCCTGTTACTCGGTTGTTACCGATTCTGGTATCGCGCGTGGGGACGGGAATGCATGTTGGCTCGGCTGGTCGTGCGCGCGCATAGCGATTTTTGAGATCTGAGGAATGGCGATTAGAGGACGGCGGCAACGTTTTATTCTTACAAATAGACGCCTCTGTTTGTCCTTAAACTCCTTTAGCCAAATATTCTGCCACGCTTCAGTGTTTAACTGAATGTTAGGCCCGAAGGAGAGAGTTTCAGTTAGTCGTTGGGAGAGTGGTTTATCGACAAACTGTATGGAAGAATGGAGGGCATAAATGGTGCCCTCCCCCCTTTTTATTTTAGCGCTGGGCTACCTAGGTGTACCCCCCCTTTTTTTTTTTAAGCAGGGGCCACATGTTCCCGCCTCTGGCAGTTCTAAGAGGGGAGATAAAGGCTGTTGGCAGTGTTATAACCAGTCTGTTTGTAAAGGTGTAATTATTAGGTTATATGCCCTTTTTAACCTAGAGTACAATATCTTGCTAGCGTTCAAGAGCTCCATTAAGTCTGTGGAACGTCGAACAGTATTGGCAGTTACGGTTTGCTCTTAAATCAGGGTTCTGAGATTTAATCCTTAAATAGAATGACCTGATTATTGAACATGGCTTGAGTTTGCCTTTGTATTTGGAAACTTCCGCGGTTTTAGAAAATAAGCATTCCCAGTCCCAATGGAAAGAAACCCAAAACGATTTAAAATTTTAATATAAAACTAGTTTTATATTTTTTGTACAAATTAAATTTTGGAGGGGAAATTGAGGTTCATGGGCTGCTGTGCCTTTGGTCGTTCCTGTATTTATCAAAGAATAACTAGTTTTCTGTGGGGGGACTTTCGGGGGGAAAAAGTGTCCAGTGGGATTGCTTTGGATTTCTAAGGCAATCATTTGAGGTTTTAAGACCCTAAGATGAAAAAACAAGTTATAGAACTAGCTCTTCAGTTTGTGTTCAGATCAGTGTTTGTTAGTATCCAGTAATCAGCATCCCAAAGGCAAAACTGATTTATGTTGGTTTTTTAGGCTACTGCAGCACTAGGGTGTCAGTTGGTCCCGCCCAGAACACTTCAGTTCTTCTCTGCAAGGATATATAATTGGTATGTTCTAGAAGCAGACTTATTTCTTTGCTTTTTTTTTAATATTTAGCAACATGCACAGCTTCTTTTCCGATAAGCCAAATGTACTAGCTTCTTTATGTTTTTAAACAGATTGGTGTTCAATAATCCAAGAAAATGGAAACTGAACAGCCAGAGGAAACCTTCCCCAACACCGAAACCAACGGTGAATTTGGTAAGAGAACATTTCTGTTAATTTTGTTGTTTATCATTGTGTTTAGTTGGGTATCCCTGTGAGTTAATTCTGGGCTTCTATTTATGAACTAAAAGTAATCCTTGTTTGCATAGGTAACTGTAAACTAAGAGGCAAAACCAGTATAAAATATTTTCGTGCATTTTGAAGTTTCTGAAAGAGAGAGCATGCTTTGATCCATATTGAAAAGTCCAAGAATATGAATGCCTTTGGCCTTTTTAAAACAAACTTGGAATTAGCAACAAATCTCTTAAGAACGTAGTTGTTTTCTCTAATTTAAGCTGTTAATTACTTGAATATAATTAAAGATATGTTTTCTTGAAGATGCTAGTGCTTTCTTTGAAATTTTAACTGTTCTAATTTCTAGGTAAACGCCCTGCAGAAGACATGGAAGAGGAACAAGCTTTTAAAAGATCTAGAAACACTGATGAGATGGTTGAATTACGCATTCTGCTTCAGAGCAAGGTATTAATTTCTTGAAAATTTGAAAATGGCTC